TAACTGCTTAGTGGTTCAAGTTTCCATGGTATGGTAACAGTACTCTGTAAATAGTACGAGAATAACAAGTCATGAAGCAAGCGGTGGTAGCACTCTGTATTTTATATTATCAGAGTACATGAACACTTACTGCAGTGTCTTTCGAATGTAAAGGTCAGGCTTTTGTTTGACTTTGGAAAGCCATTGTAAGAGCGAGTAAACAATTTTTGTCGACATACCATTTCGCACCTTTAAATATTACTGAAAATTATGAGCTGATAAGTCACTCTGTATATGCTAGACTTTTAAGGATTTTCTGAATTACGTAGGCTTATCGTGTACTGCAAGACTGAAATGCTTAACCAGTGAGTTGTCATTTGGAATTTGGAATTATTTCTTAGAAGTGACCAGTTATCACATTATAAATTTTTTTTCAACCTTTTAGCTTCAAATACCGGGGACTTTATTCCACACTCACGAAACAACTCACCAGATGACTCACATTCTACAACAAATGAAGCTAATCAGCCTGTTATGCCAACTGATCCTCCATCAACTCTCTTAGTTGAGTGTTATCACTGGAATGAATCTAGACAAGGTGATCCAATTAAGCGTCTTGAAACAACTGGGAGTCGTGCAATCTCGCTGCTACTGCCTTCGAATAGACACTGTTACAAACTGAGTATATCAGCTCCATTGGGTTATGCACTTACTATTCTTGCGCGCTTACGTTCGTCATCAGCAGAAAACTCCAACTCACCTGCTAAAGGTAAAGCTAAAAATGAAATTGAAATTTATGCAGACGATAATTTAAGTTGAACAAAAACATATTTTCATCACCATCTCCACTGAAGGTTGTTTTGACAAAAGGTCTAAGGTGATAATGACTAAATATTTATTTTTATTTATTTTATTCCTTTGTGTTCGGAGTAGAACATAGTTATGCAAGCTTTGAAGTTTTAGTACCAGTGGTGTTATCCTTTTTTACGGGGTGGGGTTACTAGCCTCACACCCAACCTCCCCTCTTTACCTAGCTTATTACAGGCTAAGTGAGGTTTAGGAGTGCCCTGGTAGATTGTGCATGAATTTTTGAGTTCGAACCGATGTTTAATCAATACTTTGGTCAAGTAACTTAGTTAGTATTGCATCTGATCAGTAGCCCAGACGCAACCGGCTAAGACTGTTCTATGACTTGTGTTTTGTGGGAATAAGTCGTCATACTCATACCAACTAGCTGAGACTGCTTAATAAGAAACTAAATTTTCTTTCCTTTGTAGGTCTCCAATCAATCAATATACTTCTTGGTGACAGTAATCATATTCTTACAAATGGTATATCAACTTGTCCATTGATGATAAGGTATTACGCAAACCAGGTTATTAGTTGTATGGTTTCTATAGGAACTCATCTGGAAGCATTAGTAAGTTTGAATGATTCACGAAATCAACAAATTATTGAATCTATTAATAATAACCAAATGAAGCCAGATAAAGCATCAACATCTGGAAGCTTGATAAATAGTTTGGAATTAGATGAACTGGAATACAAGACATTGGAAAACTTAGAAAACAAACAAAGAGAACTAAAAGAACTATTAGCTATATGGCCTAATCGTAAGGTAAGATGAATAAAAAATAAAATGATACAGTTTTGTATATTTTGTATGTAGGTCACGAATAAATTTGAGTTTTCTTGACTAGTTGGATTTTTTTAAGGTGTTGGTTCAGAACCTGTGAGATTGCGGTTCTATCCAAATATATTCATAAATTTTAGTTTCTTAGGCTATTTGTTAGCTGCAGATCTTTGTATTGGTCAATTTAATATCTCAAATTATACAAATATATACATTAGATGGTTGGAGGCAATCGGCATGAAGCCTTGGACCTAGGTATCGTGCTAATTGGCACTTGTCATCAAGGTGTGTCTGCAACCTTGAAGGAACTTTTGTCCCTTCAAAAATTCGAACCTGCACCACCCAGTACTGCAGTCACAGATGTTACCATTGAGCTCTTCCGGCTCTCAAAAGGACACGGGTTCCTACAAGGTTGCAGATACGCCTTGCTGATGAGTGCCAATTAGCACGAAACCTAGATTCAAGGCTTCCTGCCGACCGCCTCCAACCATCTAATATCGACAGTTCACAGTGCGCCGTGATGGTGAGCCACCTACAATGCTGGCCATATTGCAACATTGACTGGTAGAATTCAGTCTACCTCAAACAAAGGACTAGACACACTACACTAGTCAATAACTTGTCTCCAGTCTAAATATGCATATATCAATATTCATTGGAAAGATATGGTTTGATTGGCCCAAAAAACCAAACAGCGAGTTTAATAATATAGCTTAAGTTTAAGTATTCGGCGAATCTTCAACTGTTTAGTGTCAGTTCATGTCTAACAAGCAACAAATGTACGTCATATAAATAAAAATTTCGGCATCATAGACTACCTATTTCATTTTGGTTTCTTCAGTTGTTCAAACCAGTCTTGTTATCAATACTGCAAAGTTTGGTAGGAGATAATGGGACTGCAGATATGAATTTTGCATGGCGTATATTACAAATGGATTATACTACTTTGAATCCATTCAAGGTGTTCTATGGTCATGGTGAGTGTTTGGTACTACATAAGTTTTAATTTTACTACATTTAAGAATGAATTTTCGATGAATTGTGTTATTTCAGAAATTATTTATCATTCACAGATGCAGAATTGACATTTTTTTACCCAAGGCTATTTGAATGAATTGATTTTAAGATGAAATGCTTTTACTAACAGTAGATTTATAGAACCAGCGAGGTATCCACTCTATTTTGCACTGACTATGCACTATTTGACACTGGAAATGTTGTCAATTTGTGTTTGGTAGTGTTAGCTATCGACGTAATTTATTTTCTGAATATTCTAGTTGTTCACTGTATATCAAGTGGACTAAATAGCCAAACGGTTAGAGAATAAAAAGAAAAGACTATTTAGTAATATCCAGTTTCTTCAAAATTTCCAGTTATCATAAACTGTTGCATTTTTTATCCTATTCGGGACACGACAGCTGACTTTACCGGCATCTTAATGTGAAGTCTTGGTGAGAATATTATTCAGCGACAGATGACAGTAACAGTGTAATAAAAACATGATTTTTTCAAGATTTCTGACCATTTACTTCAGCGAATCAAATGATCATATTCTAGCATTGTAAAGGCTGTTCGTAGAAGTGGTTCCAAAAAGGACAGTGAAATATATTATCATTTACAATTTAGTGACAGTTAACGGTGAGTAGATAAAACATATTTAGCTTAATCTCTAAACTACTAGTCCGAAAGAACCAATTATATTAACATGTTCAATAAGAAGAGAATTCGGTATTAACTACATTATACTTTAAAGTAATATCTTTACTGACCTACTAAGACAATGGGAGAATCTTTCTCATTTAAATAAATAACTCAATGAACTTTAAAACGGTTGAAATAATTTTTTTCATTGTTTACATTTCAGACATTGTTTCTAACCCACCATCAACAACGATAACGAAACAAAAATCTAAAGCTTCTGGGTCACGTAAGCTTTTCTTAATTCTGTACTTTTAGTTGATTTTTCCAGGTGATCGTAGTTTGGTCAGAAAAAGAACAAAAAAAAAACTAGAATTAGTAGTATTTTTTATATTTTACAGGAAATATTGAGAAAGACTGTGGTTTAGATACGAATATCTACTACTTATCAAACAAGTGCTTAGATTTATGAAAAAGACATAGTCTGAGATGATGACATCTTTATGAAAAATCCCTGAATATTTAAGTTTTGAAAAACTTAAATATTCAGGTGATGAACTGTGTTTCATTTGTTAAAGTGACCCTAAGATTGAGAAGATAAAATTCTGACTACATGTCGTCATAAGGAAGATGACTACCTGAAAATCACTAACTTCAATAAGCAGTGTCTGATACAGATAAGGTTCAACTTCTGGTTTGCTATTTTTATGACACACACCAACTTTGGATAGTTTCCACTTCCAAGCAAAACTACAGTGAGATGTTAATGTTATTTTCCACTTATTTATTTTGTTCTCATTTTATATTTTTCAGTTTGAGATAATCCAGCATAACTGTAAATAAACAGATGAAAAGTTGTTCAAAAAGTTGCTTTCTTTAAGTTGAAACACTCGTGTATAACACAAATTTTAAATCAATTCTTCTATAATGGTCAGAAACTTGCACTACGCGTCACAGTAAGCATTCCGAACAGCCAACTGAATACTTTTATCAACAGCTGGCTTCGCTGTATGTTGAGAATCAAATGGCCAGAAAAACAAGAAACTATGGGAGCAAACCCAACCAAGAACCCATTGTTGAATAAATATAAATGTACAAGAAAATGGAGATGGGACTGACATACGCTGAGGGTATCGTCGAATGCCATCGCGTACCAGGTAGTTACTCGTGGGAGATGATAAGTGGGCGTTCGAGGGTTACGTAGAGAAGATCGTGTGAGAAAGAGATTATGGAAATCGTGTGGCCACCTAAAGAGGACTGAATAGAATAGGAAAAATTCGAGATGTGTTTTTGAAGCCATATGTTCCACTTGGAATCCAAGGGAACAATAACAAATATAATGAAAGAAAATAACATATTTGGTGTATACGATTAGTGATTTCAGGTCTAAACTCATGAAACAGTTATTTTAGTGACAGTAATTGACCAATGAATTCTTTTTGATAGTTGAGACAAGATTATAGATTCTTATTTTAATCAGCAGGACACATTATACACCTCAGCTATGCTTCTTTTCACTAGTTATGATCGAATATAGGACTGAAAACATTGAGGATATCGTGTTTCATAATAATAGCAAATGAATTGATCGTAATGATCATCGATAAGGATATATATATATATATATATATTTAGAGGCTGAGGATGTGGATGTTCACGGATACTAAGAAGTATACTAACGCAAGATCCAACACCCACAACTTTTATAGTATTCGTTCCGCGTAGACCAGAGGCAGAGCAAAACACGAGAGTTGAACGGCCAAATTACGAATTATATTTCAGGACCAAATTGGAGTGCAAGATGATTGCTTAACTAGCTAGGGATCGTGCACGAATGAATGGACATAACACAGTGTCATTCCAAATCGCGTGGCTGCCTGACCGTAAGCTTTCAGCTTAACAAGTCGACTTAAACAGTGAGGGTCAACATCTGATGTTTGGTGATGAGTGCTGTGGCTAATAGTTTTGGGGAGTTATCTACCCCCATAGTTCACTCTCCCACCTATTGGGGTTGTGAGGACCCTAAGGTGAAACAAGCCGGAAGTAAATACCTAGTGGTGACACCATTAGTAAAACTCTTCCGATGAGCTTGGTGGATTGCCTACTAGTCGTCTTCCTGTGCCAATCTGCTGTATGTACATCACTTTGTTTGTGTTCCTCTGTTGGATTTCGTGCTTTGTTTGTTTCTTGTCCAGTGCCCTTCGTATCTGGAGAAGAAAACCAGAATTCTGAGAACCTTGTCGAAGAAAGTGTAACAAAAGTAATATTTGAATTAGGGTATACATCTACCATACGGAAAATAATGCGAAAAATAGAACATGGAAAAACATTTTTTGTTGCGAAGGTTGTTACATGTACAGTTCTGGGAAAAACACTTAACCTATGACGCGAGATGCAGTGAAAAATAATGTATATGCTTGAAAATATGTATCAAAAGTACGATAAATTGATTTTCTTTTTCGAAAATTGGGTGGGTCACACTTCTCTTATGATGAAACATAAGTATGAAGGTGTTCTGGGAATCTCACGGTTGGCTCAGAACGCGTATATATATATATATATATATATATATATACTGCTCATCTAGTCAAAGTATGCCGTCTAGGAAGGACGGTAAAAAATGCAAGACGAAGTAATTTTCGGATGAATTTCGCACTTAGTAGGTGAAGCTACCAGGGTAAGGGTTATGCTTGGAGTGTCAGGACATCACATCACCAATAAAGGAATATTTAACTACAAGACCTTGGTACGGGAAATCTCTGATGGTAAAAAGATATCCTTTTTGCTACCAAAGAACAAGTGTGTTATAAGCCTCTCTTTATTTTCTCGACAAGGCAAGAGGACGAAATTTGCAATATAGGATGACGTCTTGATTGTGTGGTAATCCCCTCTGACTTACTCAGAATTACAGTTAGCCGGAAAATAAGTGTTGTGATTGGTAAAAATGAGAGCTTAAATGTGGGCAAAATACTTATAAAATTAGTAGCTATTTCAAGAATCTAGTTGTGAAAACTCAAATGGGAATTCGGAAAAATCAAAATGATATTCCTTCGGACCATTAGATCATTTTTTGAGTCTACACGTTGTCGGGATTCATAAGTTGTGGTCATTGTTAATCATGTCTACCTGTTGGTTTTTTTTCTTTAAAGGTGGAGAGAAGACTATACAGCCTGTCAAGGCGTAAGTAAATTATAACTTTGATTTCAGATCATGCAGTTCCCGTTTATCCACGACGTAAAGAATTTTTTATAATTATGTAAATAAACTTCTAAAAATGCATTTCAGAAGTGAGCAGCCTTTAATATTGAAAAAAAGGGGGGGGGGTTAAACAGCTTAACTATTAACAAGGTTTTTTTTTACAAGGAAACCGTGAATTATAAAAGACTATCTGTGTTTTGAGAAATAATAAGAAATGAATCGCTTTTCTGTTTTTTGGTCAGTTAATCCCATTTAACAATATATTGAAGATTATTTTACTAATGAATCAAACACAGAATCCATTTTAGACCTGTGAACTGAATTTTTGTAAATTAAAAATCCCCATATTGTAATCAGAACAAGATGACTTTGAGCGAACAGTTGCCTTCGACAAATATCTTCTTCTGGCTATACAATTATAAAGCCATGAATATTATAATGCAGATAGCCATTAAAGGTATGTGAAAATTATATCGGAAACTGTGTTGGGGTGCATATATAATATGAAGTGATAGTTCACTATTTAATATTGTCAAATGAATGTATATGAAAATTCTGCAGTCATTCAGTACATCAAATATGGTGTGAATAGACAAAAGTGTGTATTTATAGTCAACAGAATGTGAGTTTCATAGGGAGATGGGAGTGAGTTATAGTCAATGGTGCAAGAGGAAAATGACTACTGTAACAACAGAAGACAAGGGCCAGGCAACAGATCAGTTTTATTACGAAAACCAACAGGTATTTATATGTATTTTACGTACATTAATAGGCTTCTGCCCGCAGAAAGAAGACGGTCTTCTGATTGGTTGTTTGCAAACAAACGCAGTCTTCTGCTTTCTCGTTTTCGATATTTCTCGGAAATGCGAGCCACTTGTCTGCGAATCATATTTGTCCACGTCTAGGTCAGCTGTGATCGGTTGTTGAATCAGCCTAGATTAATTTCGACCAATCAGCGTAGATCAATGTCTACCAATTGGCTAGCAGCTTGCTCTCACCACACTACCACAAAATACATATAAGCAAATACAAAAGGTGGCGAAAACTGGGGTTGATAAAATAAAGAGGTTTAATTATGAACTGTAATAAAATATTGGAAACATAAGCTCAGTGTAAATTATGAAAGGTTGACACATAATAAAGTTAATAAAATAAACTAGGTGAAAAGGTATAGGAGACATAATATGACATGAAAACATGAATGATTATGTCCTTGCTAACCTTATAGGAGGCCAGATTAAACAAAGAGGATAAATATGCTCCTTTTGCACACAGGTCAGGTCCAAACCAAGGTCACTTCTAACAGTTTGAACAAATTTGGGCATTGGGTATATGATACTCATCGTAGTAAATGTTTTTTCTTGCATTTCCTAATGAATGAAAAACAAAACGATATTGTTTTTATAGACATTTCGCTATTTAATGCTAATAGCTTTATCAAAGTATTATTAAACCTGAATTTACAAAATCTCAGCTTATATATAACAACTTAATCATCGTTCCTCGCCTTGTAACCAGAAGGTCCTGGATTCGAACCCCTGCGGGTGCACACTGCTGAAGAGTACCAAACTAGGATGAAATAGCTGCCCAGTACTCCCAGGTTTTCCAGTGGTTCTCTAACTGATTTCCGCTCATGATGAAACCCTCCAACCAATCAGTGTTGATTTTGTTGATAAAGTTCTTAGGGTATTATTTTGCTTGAGAGTCTCAGTAATGTTTGATATTTCTTCTTTTTCTTTCTCATCCGTTATCAAAGAGTGTGCTAGTCTAAGAAGACTTCAAACAACTGATACCTTTGCGCTGATGAGGTTTGATGATCCGAACTCTAAATACTTATTGGAGTGGGTTTTCTTCCTTAATGTCTTTTTTCCCTCCTCTTAACTAGGCAGTGTAGATATGGTAGTTAACCGACGTCTGATTCTGCTTCCAAAGTAAACTGGTTGCTGGGAGATACATTGTTTAGTTTCTCCAAGAATGAACTGTTTAGATCTCGTTTTAGCACTACAAAAGTATCATCAACTCGTCCTAATCATATTTTAGGAGTGAATATACTTGAAAAGATGTTTTCTTCTAATTTATTCATAAAAAGATCGACGACTGTTGGGGATTCTGGTGAACTCAGTTTTTCTCTCATTAATCTCTATGGCTTCCGCTACAGCTAAGAGACGTAATTTTTGTTCTTTCAGGCAGATTGTTTGGTACTCGATATACAGCCATAAGTGATTTATCTGTTTTGATGTGGTGTTCACTATCTACTAGATGAGACAAAATGGCACTATTTATTGATTTGGTTACACTTTTTATATGTGTTTGTTTGACAATATTAAGTAGCGAACTATCACTTCATATTATATATGCACCCCAATACAGTTTCCGATATAATTTTCACATGCCTTTAATGGCTATCTGCATTATAATATTCATGGATTTGTAACTGTATAGCCTGAAGAAGAATTTATCGAAAACCGAATTTTTGAAACTGCTCATTAAAAATGACAAATAAACGTAACAACCACTGCACAGCTTCAGTTATTTTTAGTTGTTGAATTAGCTGTAGTTTACACAATTCGTTTAATCCAAGATGGAGAGTAGTATTTGTTATCGCTTATTATTATTCTTCTGTAAAAATGCAGCCTTAGTTTCAACAGTCGTACTGATCCTTCTTTGACTGGGCACTAGTTAGTAACTAATGTTATACGTCTACCCTTTCTTTTGTTGCAGATTTTCAGTCAAGTTTGCAATATGACATCTATGCTAGGTGGCTCATTCTGATCTGTTGTTAAATGGTTAGAGGCAATCGGCGTGGGCATGATTCCCTTCAGGATTGCATATACGCCTTGCTGACGAGTGATAACAAACTCGGAACCTAGGACCAAGGATTTCTGCCGATTGTCTCCAACTGCCTAACAACTACTTCTTCTTTTTGTGCTTCCCCTTGTATCAGATGCTTTTAGAGATTCGAAATAGATGTTGAGTCATTTCTATTGTGTAAAGAAATGAAATAATTATTTAATTTAGCGGATTGTATTGTATTGATTCAAGCAAATGATATTAAAGAATTAGTGAATGAACATCCATTTCTTGAAATTTGTCCAAAAGCTACAAGAAGTGATGCAACTGATGTATGTCTTCACCTTTTTTGTTTTTACTAAAAATGAAAAAAATGAGTGTTCACAATGAAAGATCAGTCATCTCCATGCGCGAAACTCTATTACACTGTCATTGAAAACTCTGTCAACTCAATATAGACCTAAATACGGATATAAAGTGTTACATAAGGAATGAGGAAAACTCTGTAACTCTCAGCTAATAATTAAATCATGTGAATATAAGAGCAACTCATTTTCACTAACGGCTCTGTAATCTTGTGATTATTGCTACAGAAAATTGCAGAAATACCAATACACTGTTTATTTCTCCTTTTGTTTAGTAACACAGTCGAAGAGACATTTATCAACCGCTGGAGTAAACCAGTTGATCCGGACATACTAATTGCTATAGTGCGCATACAATCATTATTTCGTGGACATCGCATTCGAAGTGCGACACTTCTAAACCAGACAAGGTTTATTGTGGAAACGCTTTCTTCTACCAGCTCACACTCAGATACTGAAAACACTGAAACAAAATCGAGATATTTTATGCGTAAGATACTAATAAGAAAAATTAAACGTTTATCAAATGGTTGGATGAATTGCTTAAATATATTACAACAAGGACATAATCAATATGAGGTTGGAAATGAACTTATTCAAAGGTTGATCTTATCCAATTCTTCAGTGGTAAATAACTGTGCGATACAGACAAGACTGATTGAAGATCTTAATCTGTATCTAAGTGTCAAAGAATATTCCGGTACATATCCTGAAATACCTTCAGAATATCCTATGCATCACACAGGACCTTCAAATTATGCAGAAAAACCCACTAGCTTATTTTATAAGGACTGGATTCATCTTTTGTTCCGCGATTGTATTTATTTACCAAATTCAATGAACAATGTACCTATGGTATCAGAGAAAGTGAAGTATTCAATTCAGATGAAAACTGTACTACCTCACAGTTATATCTTGTTGATAAACAATGATAATGGTAAGCCTAAAATATATTTTAGCGGGGAGAGAGCATCCTTATTGCGTTTTTTTTATTCCATTACGTTCCCAGTGGAACATAGAGCTTCAAGCTTGAGGCTTGAAGTTTCGGTAGCAGTTTTATTTCTTTTTACGGGATGGGGGTTGCTAGCCTCATGCCCAACCTTCCCTCTTTGCCAGTTCTATTACTGGCTTAGCGAGGTAAAGGAGTGCATCGGCCGGGGACCGAACCTGAACCACATGCGTGGTTGGCGAGCATTCTACCACTGTGCCACAGACTCACATCCTCACTGTAATTGGGCATTCGATGAGAAGTGGGGAGTGGTGGACAGACTTTTCATCTTTGTTTTAGACATATAATAAACTCCTACTGAAGATTTATCATATAATATAGAGTTAAGCATGTTCACAACTACCGAAACAAAGAATAGGTGGGTATGTTTTTCTTCATGGTTTCTGACTCCGAGGAAAACTGTTTACATTATCCATTTACCTGTTTAAATCATTCAGTTGGCTAGAAAAAGTATCCTACTTTGAATGTATCATTACTCTCCGATCATTTCGTTAGTTAAATAAAAATATGCAGACAAGCAAGTGATTACAAGTTGGGCATCTGTAAATAGCTTGCTTGTGTAACCCTTGTGCACAAAGTTAGGCAATTGGTACGAAGCTAGAACTAAATTAGTGGTTACACATTGTTTGACAGCTGCTAAAGTATAGGACTGATAAGCTAAAGGCGATTAGTTCCAATTATATCAAAGTACTTTTTTACTTAAATTACTTTAAAAAAAAATAAAATCTGTCTTAGCGATGTATCACCTAAATTCACTTCTTGGTATTTTAATGATTCATCTTGAAATTTCAGGCGTAACTGTTCGACCATCAGTAGACTTCCCATACACTTGGTTACATCTACCTGAAAACAAAATGGGTTATAGTTTATTGGGTGTTGCAGGCAGTGGACCGGCACCAAATGGAAAATGGAGTTTACAAATTTTGGGTCCAGGTATTATGGGAATTGAAAGACTGCCCAAGCCAGTGAATGCTTCGTCTCAAAGTTTATGCTCAAATTTCCATATACTTGAATTAGAAGATTACTATGAACCAAATTCTAGTGGTTTATTATTTCGACGTCGAATATGTGTAAGTTCAGACTCAATATTTTTAATACAATAGTAGTGATAATGACTACAATAATAATTTGGTTACCATTATTACTGTTATTATTACAGGTATAAGCAGTTATGGCAATTTGTAAATACGTAATTTTTTATCACATTATTTAGCACATTTAGGCTAAAATTAAATAAAAGCGGTCTGATTGAGTATGAATGATGAAAATTATTAACTGTTCTCCTTTCAGACAACAACTCTGCCCAGGCTCTTGTATAACTGTATGCGTTTAAGTACAGTAGAAAAACATTTTTACCTCGAGCTGTGAATTTTTTGATATTTTAGTCCCTTGTCTTCAGCTTTTTCAAAAAGTTTATTCCAGTTCCTGATGTCTTGTCGAATGATTAGTTAGTTATAAACAGTTACGATCGTCTTCATTGAGAATGCTTTAACTTATGATGTCGGTCAAACGGTAGTTGAAAGTCATGTTTAGTTGATGAGATGGTATGCCAGTCTTGGTATACCACTGAAGCGGTTAAATACAAATTGTGGAATTCAAAATTTGATGGATTAGCAGTTCATGCAAGCTGTGAGATATGAGGATCCTGTTAAATTTGAGAACTTTCAAACTCACACCGACAATCTGTATTTTTTATTTATATTTAAAGTTATATCACTCTGTGGTAAGAATGCTTTTAAATAAAACTTATTAACCCTCTAAAAATGAAAAGGTATTCTATTTGACCGTTGAAGATTGGATGTTCATATCGACCTTAAAGAAAATAAAGTTATGTAAGAAATGCAAAGTAACGTTATAGTCAATGGGCAAAACAATCAAACAGTTTTTAAAGCCTGATATGGGTAATTCTTAAATCTATTACTATCAAGTTCAGACAAAGCTCTTATTATACGTCAGTCATTGGTTTATTTATTAAGATTTATTACAAATCTCCATATTTTAATTGTTGTATTTCTTTACAGCTGCAAATATATTTCTAACTAATTGCTGGTATATATTTTTGTCTTATTATTCCTGTTGCTGACAGGCTAGTAATGACAGCTTGATAACAGTTCAGTTGCGATTATCTGTTCCGAATGTACATACACGATTATGCATTAAAATGGGTAACAAAGAGGTAGTGTCTGATGACGGTTATGGTGGTGCATGTATTTTCGCCTACATGTTATTATCTGATACATTGTCGTCGTCAGATGGTCGAAAAAGTCGAGCGTCAAATTCAGGACGTCTTCTAGAGGCCTCAAAAACTGAAGTTATTAAATCAAGTCCTAGAGAAATGACGAATCCAAAACTTACAGCAGTCAAATCAAATACTGCCAGAGTATCTCCACGAAAATCCACGACACCCAAGAAAAACATAAAACCAGGGGTAAGGAATGTAGTCAACCTGCATTTATTTTAAAGTAACAGCTATGCTGTGTAGAAGTTTTCTTAAAAAATAAAAATGGATATATTTGTTAATAGCTTTTTCATGTGTACTTTGCTTGCATTACCTGATTAGTTCATAACAAGATCTTAGTGTTATAAATTAAGGAAGTCTGAAATTATAAATAATTCGATTTTGACGTAGTGGTTGCTTAACAGAGTAACCTAATAGTTATCAGCTAGATATTTCATGGCAAAGTGGGAGTGTACTTCTGAAAAATGCAAAACTGCTAGTAAGTAGCTGTTAATCATTCCTGGTTGTCTGACGACAAAATCTAACTTTGAATCATAATTTTAAGATATAGTGTTTTCTCCATCTGCAGTTATTTTCCTTCACATTAATCGTTATACCATATTTTTTAGGCCACATTTTATCCCCGAAAAGCCATCCAGCAAGAATATTTAGTAGGTGATTTTGCTCATGTTTGCAAATACTGTAAGAGTGGATGTGTACATATAATCTTCAAGAAAAGTTTATTGAATCAAGTGGACTCGAAACACTGGTGTTGTACCACCTAGTCTAGTGGCCACATTTCTTACTTGATCGACAGATTCTATTCAACACTAGGCACTTTTTGGCTGAAGTAGATACCGTCTCTTATTCAACTTTTGTATATTTATAGTGATTTTAACTACTACTTGTTGTTTAGACCAGGTTGTCGAGAATGTATCTTTGACGTTGCGGGATATGAGCCATACGTGTTGTATGATTGCTGATAATATTTCTCACTTGCTAAAGTTCATGTGGTTGTGAGTGGGTTAAAACCCGTATTCTATTGGATGAAAACTGAGTGCTTCAGCCAATGAGTTCCATCTTCATCCCTACCATTTAGGCTATTACTGTTTTATTGGAAAACCTGTTCACCCGCCTAAAACAATTATTCATAATAGTGATCATTTTAGATAGATAAGAGAAGAAAATATAAATAAACGGAAGTCGAAATTAAAGAAACTAGCGTCAGTTCAACTAATTCCTTAATTAGAAATGGGAAAAAAATATTTTGGAATACTACTTGCCAATATAAGCTCTCTAGTTTTTATTTCGTTATGGTTTCTTCTTAATTTGGCAAAAAATTATTGAGGAACGGTGATGACAGAAAAGAAATTGATTCAGGTCATTACCGGTTAGATATCGCTCTTCTCAGCAACTTTTAAGTCCTACTGCAGTTGATGACTATAGTTCAACGCAAAAACAACAGATCAATTAAGACTGCCAGATAAGACTTTTAAACACAGAGTTATTCTCCGGATTTGAAGTTCCAGTGGAAAACTTTTCAGTTTTTTACAAGACATTATCATTATCAAAACTCATGATTATGCATTGTTACGCATATAAAACCATAAATAAAAGCATTCTTTTGAACGATTCACTGCATTTATAAATTTCTTTTAGCCTAGAGAAACATTTGTAACATAAATAACAGCTTTATTAAAACTTCAGTAGTTTTAACCTTTTTCTCAGGCCCTGATACCTTTTTATGTTACACGTGAAATAACACTAAATTACTTAAGTTCGTTTTGAAAAGGAATTTTAATTGAAACTGAACTGTATTCTATAATTACGAAGCCAAACGAGAAAAGTCACTATGATAAGGCGTTTTTAGAAATAAAAAACTTATGTTCTGTTTTCATGTAAAAATTATAAAAATAATTCACCTTGTCTCATGAGATGACTAAATCTGCCAGTGGAAAATGGGATTTGCTGGATACAAGTAAGGTAAAGTCTAAGGGGACAGCGAAAAACGTGGTTGATACTTGATAAAGTTATATGACCACAAAATAGGTGGATTAATGGTAACTGCAAAGGATTTATCTTCTCAGATAAATTTTGAATGGGATCACTTAATATTTGTTGGTACACAGGAGTGAGACAGACAGATATATAGTGTAAAGAAACATATCAACTCAAATTTCTGAATTCCGTCAGGGAGCACCGAAATTATATTAATATGAATATAGAGAAGATAAGAACAGAAGCATACTCCACCAAAAGTAAATAAGAGAATGGTATTAATAAATTTCGATTAAACTTCCGTGCAAGTCAATCTTTTCAAATTACTAAGACTCCAGAGCCTCTTATACGAACCTGAAACTTCCTTATTTCTTGAAGATAAGTAAAATATAATATATAAAGTCTAATGCAAGGGTTGATATCATTCATTATTTCAAACAAAAAGATACAATTTAATTGCAATCATTAGACTACAGCCAGATGGCAAGATATAAAAACCTTAAATATGCACTGCAGGATAGCCACAGCCGACTAGGTGTACGCTACTTCAAACAGCAAGAGGAAATATTTGAAGCTATGTTGCTCAAATATGCACGTAATCAGTAGACATATGAGCCTAAACATCATCTATAAACCAGTCTATGGAAGGGTGGTAAAACGACTTTAAAACTCCAGTTATCGTAGATAACCACGGTTAAAAAAGTAGAAAGTAAGAAGGAAACGTTATTGGCTTTTAATGATCCCATAATCGACGTCAGTTTGTGGCGGCATATTATATATATATATATATATATATATAAGGAAATAAACTGATTATATTTCGTTTTTTTATCATCAATTACTGCTAGAGTGGTTCAAGTAGTTCTACTGGTGGTAGTACGGTAGGCAGTAGTGGCGGCAGCAGTGGTATTAGCAGTGCTCACAATGAAAGAAATAGTCGTCCCGTTTCGAGTGAACCAATTTCTGTTCAAGGGGATAAAGAAAATCCCCTGAAAGATGAGGATCGATATTATTGGATTGAAGCCTTTGTCGACGTTAAACAGTGGCCATTAAGTATCAGCAATTGGTCATTTTTAGAGGAAAAGCGGTTAGCTAAACTTGAAGAATGTCAAGGTAACATGTACAAGTACCTTTATTGCCTAGTTTGATCTATGTTTGTTTTTCAAAATTATTTTATTACTGTTTAAACACAAAAAATTCGTACAATATGGCACCAAGAAGATGCGCTAAACAATAATAATAAAACAACATAGATTAAAAGTAAAAGTACAGGTAGAGAACGGACCAAGTACTTCACCTAGAAGGAAAACAGTCATATTTAACAAGTTCAAACAGCATTCGTCAATTATCGTCAGAAAGGAAAGAAAGAAGGAAATCGCAGCAGGTCCGCCATTGATTACGATCCTTTGCCATATCCAATAACTTTTCGAGCCATTGATTCGAGCTATCTCTCGGACTCCAACTAGGGAGTCGTGGCTCACCAGCCAATGCTAACCTAACACAAATATCCTTCCCCCCACGACGCCACGTCATCGACTGACCACCTCTCCGCCTTTTCCATCCCGTCCCAGAGCTAGCGAACAGAGACCTGTATGGAAGCTTCTGGGATGACATTCGCTGCACATTTCCAAGCCACCGAAGCCGGTGTTTCAGATGACAACACTCAATTAATGGTGATCTCCACTGTGTTCAAACACACGCCGCCAAACGTCACAATCACTTACGCAATGATGCCATCGAACGCAAGCAATCTTGCGGAGACAGCAATTATCAAATACGCAGAGCCACCGCACATCCTCAGCTCGGAGAGGCCACAATCGTAGAGCAAGACAGCCCGCACCGAAGCATTGCATACCCGACCTTTGACAGTCAGGCTAACGTCGCGACGGTGCTAGAGGTGGCTCAAGTTGATGGGTGCCACCCTAGTCTTCATTATACGGTTGGAAATCTCATCCGTCACCCCTCCGCCAGCACTCACATAACTACCCAGATACACAAATTTACCAACAACTTCAAGCGGTTCACCCGCAAGAGTGAGTGCAGGTACAGGTTCTTGCCAATCTTGTAACAGTACTTTGCACTTAGATGGCGCAAAGCACATACCATATTTACAGACAATGATCGCCAACTGATTAAGTGCGATTTGGGCAGCCTGCATGCTACCGCACAGTAAGGCGATATCGTCTGCATACTCGAAGTCGAAGAGTCTGTCGCCAGGGAGCGAATATATACTACCTTCACGCACCTCCTTCGGAGCTGACTTCAGAGTGTCATCGATGGCAAAGTTAAAAAGAAATGGAGAGATACGGCCACCCTGTCTAACCCTACTGTTGGTTGAGAACAGTGATGATAGTTGGTTGCATGCCCCCACTGTACCTGAGGTGTTTCTATATGAGGCTTTCAGGATGTTCTAAAACTTCTCAGTTACACCTCTATCCAACAGACAGTTCCAGAGCACAGTTCTATCCAACGAATCGAAGGTAGCCCTAATATCAAGAAACACAACGATTGTTGGCCTGCAATACGTGTGACGCTGTTCCAACAACTGATGAACGGTGAACACTCGATCAGTGCATACACGACCTGAACGGAACCCAGCCTGCTCTTCACGAATCAATCCCTCACATGTTTTGGACAGCCTGTGGAGCAAGACAGCAGCCAATATTTTAGACGCAACTGGCAGCAGACTGATACCTTTATGATTGTCGCATGAATTACATCGACCCTTTTTAAAGATGGGAACGATAATGGCTTCATTCCACATTGATGGTACATTCTTAGTCTACCATACTTTCCTGAATAATTCAGTTAAAGCCATTACAAGAGTCTCGCCACCATCTTTAAAAAAGAGCCGGAGGTAGATTGTCTGGGCCGGGTGCCTTATGGCGTTTTAACACTTGGAGTTCCTTACGGACCTCCGCTTCGGTTGGTGGGCCGGTACTAACCGACTAAGGAGCACTGGAGCCAGTGACAGCAGATACTGAAGCTGGAAGCCTGCCAAACTATTTCTTGAGGTGCTCTTCTCACCGTTTCAGGGGTCTTTTCAAGCTGGTAATTGGTGTGCCATCTGCCTCACAGACCGTCTCGCTGACACCTTGTTTTTTGCTACCGGTGGCTCAGATGAGCTGTAACGGCTTCCGCTTTTTGCCAGATGCAGCAGCTGACTCCATCTCACACGCACACTGTAACCACCGGACTTCGCGGTCCTTACGTAAACACTGTCTAATCTTGCGCGTAAGCGTCTTTCGCTGATTGTTGTATTCACTGCCAGCCGGAATGGACCGGCGTTCATCCATGAGTTGCAAGGAACTCGCAGAAACCCAGTGGTTGTTAGCGGAGCGTTTTTTTTCAAGCCACAAGCAGCTACACTCGCCATTTGCATGCCGTCTTGCAGATGAAGCCAATGTTCATCCATACTACTTGGGGGGTTGCTAGCAAGCAGTGATTGTAACTCATTCTGGTATTTCAAAGAAGTAGCAGGTGCTACCAGTTTGCTCACATCGACATTTAGATGACGCTGTTTATGAACTCCACCAAATCGCAAGATGAACCTGACACACACTAACACATAATCGGAGTCCAGGCATCTGCTCCAGAAAGACCGGCAGTTTAGTATTCTCATACCGAAGCAGATGGTTGTCTTAAGGGACCAACCCCAAGCCTTTGACTTGGAGTCTAATCCTCAAGGCAGCGAAGCAGCTTCAGGAGCTACGTTCCCATGCTTGCCGGTGACCAATACAAGTTCATACGCCATTTGATCCGATTGGATTCTGGAGCCCATGTACCCCATGATAACTGCTTTTAGTCTAACCGCTATCCAAACAACCTTCCTGACATGGTAGGACCTGCAGAAACATGAGTCCTAGCCAGTTTAGCTTGTTGGTTCACTGTGGTAATCAAGCCCGACCACCACGACAAGATAGCAGTTGTCGGCCGGGTGTTTTTTAGAAGCTGTTATATTAACTCTCTTGTAACAACTTATTGCAAGACTTCAAGAGCACTAGTGTATCTGATAGGGCACGCTTTAAGTGCTATTATCAGCGGAGAGAAAATTACTTCGTATCTCCGTGTTCCAAACTAAATACTTGAGATATGAGCACGTTGGATCAGATTTCTCTTCATATAACGCTGACACGGGCTAGGCCTTTTTATCTTGTGCACTAATCATGGAATGAAACGATAGTTCAAGAGGGTGAAGTTAACTGCAGCTTTCCAAACTCTGCTTTTTATTGACTTTTCTACTAAAACATTTCTTGATAAAATAAACTCTGCGTATCGAAAATTAGGAACAAGATTTTTCTGATCGTTTGGTTGAGTAAGCTACAGTTTTTCCTGCTGAACTGTTGCTTCCAAGTATAAAACCAATCTAGGATAACTATGCTTCTGTTATCTACAAACTATATATATATACACCCAGTTTTTTTTCATATCATAGTGAATAATCCGTCTAGAAGTGCTTCAGCTGATAAAAGTTCCAGTGGTAGAACCGTAAAATCTGCAACAAAGTCTGCTGGAGGTAAATCCAGCGGTGTTGGTCAAAAATCTGGTTCTGGACGTGCTAATTCGGCGAAAATTGATATAAATCAGGCTCATTGGAAAATGAGAATAATTTGTAATAACGCTGTAAGTTTTCGTACTTTATAGTGTACAACCAGTAATCTTCAAATCATTTTACAGTAGCTATATTCTGCTGTAATCTTGTTCCCTTCATGTTTGATTAATTTTTTGTACGATTTTGTCTACAGTCTTGATAGCGAAGACGATTTCAACTAGCTATAGTGCACATCTGATCAATGGGCTCAGATAGCACAAATCTGTATGATATCTTCAATTCTATAGATAATCAGTTAGTGATAAGATATTCGGCCATAGTAATAATAGTGATAATAATAATAATAACAGCCTTACTCCAAACAATAGTTTTTATACAGAACACTGAATGACAGAATAAAAGTCAGTATCCTCATTGTAATATAGCCGATTTCGTCGGTGGCACAGTGGTTAGGACTCTCGCCGGCCATGCACATGGTCCGGGGCTCGAACCCCTGCCGACGCACACCTGATATTAATGGACAGCCTGCAAAATTTAGGCTACCAATATCACATGCTTAAAATTCAATACTTCTACCAAAAATGTACTGTGTGGAATCAAGCTTTAATAAAAAAAATTGTAATAGTTACGAAGTTTAAACTGAGGTAAACGTATTATAATTGCAGAATAATTTTGATTTGATAACAAAACTCTGCTCAACCTAAGATACATCAATCTATGGCAACTGACATTTTCATCTGTTTTGTGAAAACATGATCCCATCTGGTAAACCGGAACCTATCATGATAATCCTCATCCGTCTATATTACCAAAAGTAGTATTATTAATTATTATCCATCTTGGCATTTGATTTCAGATTGTTCGAAATGCATTATGCAAATACGTCACACTTTTGAGTTAACCTCTCTCTTCTAATATAACGCTATCCGAGTCTACTTTTTTTGTTTCAGAGTGATGTGAAATTAATAAATGCGGATAGTAGAACTGCAGAAATTAAAGCTTTAAAGAGAGCTTGGGAGGAAGTGGAACCAGGAAGATCGATGAGAGGTGAACTTTCAAGAACGCGTTATCTTGAAGAATATGGTTTAATGAATAGACCGGACTTAATAAACAATTTAGATGATACTGAGTCAGTCATTACAGGCAAATCTGATGGTAAGTCATCGAAGAAAGATAGTCCATAGTTAATTTCTTGACAGGATTCTTCCTTTTCTGCAAACGTTATTTTACCAACATAAGACGTTATAGTTAAGCTAATACAACTGAAAATGTTTACTGTAAGCAAGGTGTCTGAATGACTGTATTTATTTAATTAAATAAATTGGGTCACGTAATATATTTCACAATCTAGTGTAACAAATAAAGCCACATTTCAGCTTTGTATCGGTTATTAATTTGGATTTCCTCCTCTAAGACCCGAGGTAACTTAAACTGATACATATGCAACCTTATTTCCATGAATATGCGCTCATAATTTAGTCATAATGTCTACTAATTCAAGTTTATCTGCTTGAAGTCTGGTTAGTTTCTAAAATGCCACTAATTAGCACATCTTAGTTTCTGTTATGCGGTTATGCTACGCACTCATTGTGGATAGTATAAAGTATGATTTTATTTTTTGTCTGGTTATCTGAAGAAAAAAACCTAGAACTTGTTTCAATGTCATCTTGTATTTGAATAAGAACTATATTTTCACTTGAATATTACTGTATACGATTTGGTAACATTTTTTACTCTCCTTCATTTGTTTCATCTAAATAAACAGACAGTCAAATTCAAACTGCTAGAGAACAACCTTTAACAGACCCTTCATCAGATCCGTCGAGAATTTACGTCCTAACATTCCCACAAGAATTAAATCGAACTATCAGTCTTGTAAAACCGGTTGAATTACAAAAGTTCACCATGAAACCAGATGAAGTTGAGTTGAATCGAATTGACGAGGCAAGTAAATTGGTTGGTCCAGATACAGAACAATGGTTTATTGCATCGCGTTACCTACAGCAAGTCAAACTGTTGTCAAATAATGATATGGATAAAATGATAAAAGTGAAACGGGAAATATTTAACAAACTGATGCATAACTTGGAAGTAGAACTAGCCGATCATAAAAAGAAACGTGGTTTGTGTAAACAAAATCACATTGTTATGCTCAAAACTGCTCAGGTAAGTCAGTGTGGACGAAATCTTTAGACGATAAGTATATTTATCTCTAATTAAGCATAGAGAAAGATCATCTGTAACAAGGGTTTTCATTTTCAGAAACTTAGAAGTTACAAATATTTGAATACTTCGAAAATTTAATGGGTTTTAGTTGAACCTTCAGGTCTTTGATCACAAAGTGGGAGGATGTAAGACAAACTCTAAGACAGTCTACGATATCAATGAAGACAATCCAGAAAAAACAGTGTTGGAAGGATATAACTGGTTAACAGGCAACTGGTTTATTAAAATATTTGAATTTTCTTAACACTAACTCCTCACACAATATCACGTACCTCTGTTTGCCTAAAAATTAAGATCTTTTTCAGACTTTAACCTAATTTACATATTTATAAAATTATATTTGTAAAATCTCAGCGAAATTGAAATGATTAATTCCAACGTTTCGTTCGGCAATCTGGTCCGAACTTCTTCAGGGAAATTAATCGAATTAAAATAAACAGGTTTATATATAAAAGGAACAACTCATGTTTTTTAAATTTTGTCCAATCATGAGTCATGCAACAGTCATCAACATGTATAATAAATAAATAAATAAAATAGTATGTTTATATATAAAAGTACATCTCTTTTAAATTGTTTGTCCAGTCATGTGAATCAATAAACAGCTATCAATAGGTATAGTAAACAAAACAAAACAAAATCTTTAATATGAACTGTGATCAAAATTTGACCTCAGACTTTCAAAATTAGTCTACTTTTGTTAAAATATATATGTGTATATGTGTTATGCAGTATCAATGGTGTGTGTGTGCATGTGTGTATGTGTGTGGGTGAACAGTCATAAAACATTTGTTATTCTCATATGAGCTGTGATCAAGATTTGACCGGATAGTTACAAAATAATTGAGATGTTTTTTACAAATATAATATAATTTTATAGATTTGTTATTCTCTCCATAAAAGGACGTAGACAATCGGGAATTTGATCAAGTGTGACTAGTTGTTGAAACATATCCAATTTATTTATTAGTCAGGATTTGCCATGCATCAGCTAAGATCACACCTTCACGTCTGTTCAAACTGTTGGGATTCACCCATATATGTAGGGCTTCTGCAGTCAGTCTTTCTTTATATGAACCAAAACCTTTCTGTAAAACCTTAGTCTTATCAAAGTCGATTTTGTGTCCCGTTTCTATCGAGTGCAGTGCAATCGCTGAGTTGTTTTCTAGCTTCTTCAAGTCTGCAGAGGTCTTTGGAACCACCTTTAGACATTGTTTATGCTCTTTCACCCTTACATTTACCTGTCTGGAAGTTTCTCCTACATATACGGCGTTACAATCCCCACAATTGATTTGGTATACACAATTTTGCTGGTTTTCTTGTTCTATTTTATCCTTAACCTTAACCAGTAATGAGCGTAAGGTGTTTGATGCACGAAAATACACTCGTATATTATGGTCGTTAAGGATTCGCTTTATTTCGTCGGAAGTTTCTTTGCGGTAAGGAATCACCGCTGTACTAACCCAATTCTTAGCAACAGGTTTTGATTCATCCTTATCTTCACATTTTAAATATTTATTTATGAAGGATTTTGGATAATTATTTGATTCAAGAGTGGATTGAACCAATTTTAATTCCTTGTTAATATCTTCCTCCTCAGTAACTAGACGTTTGGCTCTGTTGATCAGATTCTTGGCCACAGTTACTTTGGTGGTAAATGGATGAGCTGAATGGTAATCTAGGTATCTATCTGAATTTGTCGGCTTTCTAAAAATGTTTATTTTAAATTTTCCATCTAATTTTCTTTGGAAAATTTAAAAAAATTTAAAATTTAAAATAAACATTTTTAGAAAGCCGACAAATTCAGATAGATACCTAGATTACCATTCAGCTCATCCATTTACCACCAAAGTAACTGTGGCCAAGAATCTGATCAACAGAGCCAAACGTCTAGTTACTGAGGAGGAAGATATTAACAAGGAATTAAAATTGGTTCAATCCACTCTTGAATCAAATAATTATCCAAAATCCTTCATAAATAAATATTTAAAATGTGAAGATAAGGATGAATCAAAACCTGTTGCTAAGAATTGGGTTAGTACAGCGGTGATTCCTTACCGCAAAGAAACTTCCGACGAAATAAAGCGAATCCTTAACGACCATAATATACGAGTGTATTTTCGTGCATCAAACACCTTACGCTCATTACTGGTTAAGGTTAAGGATAAAATAGAACAAGAAAACCAGCAAAATTGTGTATACCAAATCAATTGTGGGGATTGTAACGCCGTATATGTAGGAGAAACTTCCAGACAGGTAAATGTAAGGGTGAAAGAGCATAAACAATGTCTAAAGGTGGTTCCAAAGACCTCTGCAGACTTGAAGAAGCTAGAAAACAACTCAGCGATTGCACTGCACTCGATAGAAACGGGACACAAAATCGACTTTGATAAGACTAAGGTTTTACAGAAAGGTTTTGGTTCATATAAAGAAAGACTGACTGCAGAAGCCCTACATATATGGGTGAATCCCAACAGTTTGAACAGACGTGAAGGTGTGATCTTAGCTGATGCATGGCAAATCCTGACTAATAAATAAATTGGATATGTTTCAACAACTAGTCACACTTGATCAAATTCCCGATTGTCTACGTCCTTTTATGGAGAGAATAACAAATCTATAAAATTATATTATATTTGTAAAAAACATCTCAATTATTTTGTAACTATCCGGTCAAATCTTGATCACAGCTCATATGAGAATAACAAATGTTTTATGACTGTTCACCCACACACATACACACATGCACACACACACCATTGATACTGCATAACACATATACACATATATATTTTAACAAAAGTAGACTAATTTTGAAAGTCTGAGGTCAAATTTTGATCACAGTTCATATTAAAGATTTTGTTTTGTTTTGTTTACTATACCTATTGATAGCTGTTTATTGATTCACATGACTGGACAAACAATTTAAAAGAGATGTACTTTTATATATAAACATACTATTTTATTTATTTATTTATTATACATGTTGATGACTGTTGCATGACTCATGATTGGACAAAATTTAAAAAACATGAGTTGTTCCTTTTATATATAAACCTGTTTATTTTAATTCGATTAATTTCCCTGAAGAAGTTCGGACCAGATTGCCGAACGAAACGTTGGAATTAATCATTTCAATTTCGCTGAGATTTTACAAATATAATTTTATAAATGTCTACTTCTCACTCAGCGCTCAATTATTTTGCAACTATCCGGTCAAATCTTGATCACAGTTCATATGAACTAATTTACATAGCTTTATATATATATATATAATTTAGCTGTTGACGGTGAGTTTATGAGTCTAATAATAATAATAATAATAATAATAATAATAATAATAATAATAATGTGGTGAATATTTTGAACGTTAGGAATAATTTTAACAGAATAATGATAATAAGGTTTATGCACAAGACAATAAGAATAACGAAGATAGTGATATGTGTATATGCATATGTAGACAATTCAAGAAATAAATTAGGTCAAATCTTAAAAGTTGCGTAATATTAGAGGTAAAGTGGACAGACAATCAGAGTTTACATAAATATCATAAAAATACGGAGGAAATGGAAAATAAGAAAGGGTGGGAGGACTTTGATTAGCACTTGCTTACAAAAGAAGTTTGTTCTATCTTTTTCTCTCCTTTGGCCTAAGTCGTAGACCTACCATTAAGCCACTGCGACCCGATTCAGTGGCCCCTGAATTCTAACTTCTGCCAGCTCATGACATAGCACGACCTCTGATTTATTTATTGATTTGTCTACATATACATATACACATATTACTACCTTCGTTATTCTTATCGCCTTGTGCATAAAGCTTGTTATCATAATTTTGTTATCATTATAATCACTGTTATTACCGATGTTCAAAAAATTTAACACTTATTATGTTTAGAAATTAAGGTACTAATTAGGGTCGTTATGTTATATAGAAAGATATTTAACTAGTAAAACCTGTCAAGATGATAGGAGGAGGTAGAAATATATGTTATGACGTAACAAATGGATGGAACGAAAGAAGTAGAAGAAAAGATGGCTTGAAATACCAAAGGTCATCATAGTGTACACACAAAAATTTAAAGAAATTTTCTTGTTTCATGAAACTTGAGTTCTACCACCTAGATGGCTAACTCTTAAGATGCCTGAATTAGAATTTCGACAGGTGACTTCTCACCATTTAATACCACTAAAATGAGTTGAACCATGAGCAGCAGATTAAAAATTACGGCGGTTAAAATCGGCCAACACCGAAAAGGAGTAGAGTTTGAGATCCAATAGAATGGAAACTTAGCAGCTTCAGTTAATTTGCCAGAAAGTTATCTTTGTCTTTCACTTTCTTAACAAATAATTTTGTTTCCTCTGTGATGAGATTTGTGTTCGAGACAGAAAAAATGATTTTCCCCCACTGGAGTTTATTTCCGATTACTTATCAGTGAGAATGACTGTGGGTGAACTGGTTTTCCAAAATCTAGGTTAAAAATAGATGGTTCAGTGCCTGTGTCTGTTATTTTCTATCCAGTATCTGTGCTTATATTGTAACGACAGAAGGCAAGAGTCAGGCAACAGATTGTTTATTAATGAAATCAACATATATTCATAGATTTTCGTGTGCATTATTATAGATTACTGTTAGCCGACAAACACAGTTTTCTGATTGGTTGTTTCTCACTAAAAGTCAATCTTTCATCTCTTTGTTGCTGTCTCTTCAAAGTCAAATTATCTATCTGTTAATTGTATCCGCCTACGCAAAGTCTGCTGTCCACTTTTGATTTTGTTTTCACATGACTAATATTTGAGACATAAACATTGACGTCAATTACTGTCTACCAATTTGGCTAGCAGCCATCTCTCACCACAATATATCTCACTATTGAAGCAATAGTTTTAATGAGTATATTTCACTTCTTTACGGAATTGGTTCCAATAGTTAAAATCTCTGTGAGAAGACCAGTACACCATAGCAATACAGTTCATCTGTTGTGTCATGTGAGTCTTTTCGACTGGGCGAAAATGTGATGATAATAATAAGATAAGATCTCCTTCCTGCCTTCGTTATGGTAAACAGGAGAGATTCAATCAGTTTAATTGTTCTTCTTCTGCTATTCTTGTCATGTCAGGGATCATACATGTGATAGTCTTTTTGACCTTTTCTAGTATATGTCAATCACCTTCTGCGTACTGGTCGGCTGCACCAAAGAAGTGTACAAATTGCTGAACATATCGCTGGACATTTTAGCGGTGGTCCCAAAGGATTCTAAGGGCTGCAGTTGAAACTGAGAGACAACGACTTATTATGCTTCTGAACTGAAGTAGGGATGTTCAGTCTATATTGAAAACATAGGTAGTTTTTTAATACCATCATCTGAAGACTGGATGATTCTTTAATTGGTTAAATTACATGAACTTAATAATAATAATAATAATAATAATAATAATAATAATAATGGCTTTATTCCAAACAGTATTTGTGGTACAGGTATGGAATTTTCAGTGTTCATTACAATAATGTTTCCAGTACCAGTATCTCAGATATCCCTTTCACTCTGTTATTGCCTAAAATGTTGTTAACCATTATAAGTAAGATGTCTATCACCAAAGACCTACTAATTATTACAGATGAGATTCATTATTCATCAAGTGGCAGTGATAGAAATACAAAGCCGAAAACTAAAAGAAATACAGATTTCATCAAAGCAAAGCTAGTGACTACTCACCACTGACCTCAGTAATATGCAAGAAATAATATGTTGATTACCTAAGTTTGTAATCTTTGTAATCTTCTAACTCCCTAATACTTGCAAATTCCTGTAACGGCGAGCATACACTTCATACAAAAATCTTTTTTGTAAATTTACAGGTGTTATGTGTCTCTAAAATTAAGGAAATGAGGCCATTAAATAACTCTTTTCACATACTCTTGAAGTTTTGGGGTTATTCTGTTTGTGTTACAGAACAAGTAGGCTTTTAATCAGATTTATTTTTTGTCAGACTTAGTCTGTTGAATTAATTGCGTTCTCTGAACCGGTTAATTGATTTAGTTACGAACCTTTCGTCGTTCTTCTAGACAACATCTTCAGAGAAGGTTTTAATAGTTTCTAAGAGTTGCGCAGCATACACAAAGAGTTGTTTTATCACATTGAATCTGAGCTTCATTTCGCACTAACTTCGATTTATGGATTATATTTTCCTTTATTTTATTCTCCATTAAATGCAACAGTGGGAATTAGCGTCATTAAGATGCAATAAATTACGTATAATAGGATGAGATAATAAAGATGCCATATCGCATGTTTAACTATTAACCTTGTTGCCTAGCTACGAAGATCAAACACCATTTACTGCCACAGAAAGGTGAATTTAGGCGTATGCTTTAACACCACTTTTGTTAAATACTCAATATTTTTGAATGTATAACTTTTTATTTTTATTAGTTTTTGAACGATGAAGCTCACTTTAAATACTATGACATGTGTACAACGTACAGGAATAATTTAATCAAACAATATAAAGAGGAGAAAGAAGCACTTTTGAATGAAGGTGCTGACTACTGTGCTGTTGAACCAGTTGTAAGTCAACAGAAAAGTCCTAAAAAAGAAAGAATAAAGTCATCAAGAAGTTCAAAGTCAGGCTCAAAAAGTCGTCCCAGTTCAATTAAAAGAAGGAGTTAACAAATGCTTTACTTTGTTATCTTGATATTATTTGTTCAGGGTTAATTTGTTAGATAATAAATATAAATTTTAATTCAATAAGAAGTTATGATTTTTTTATGGGTGGATATCTTGTTATCACAGTAGACGTCAGTTTTACTTCAGCTTAGTCGCGAAAGCAAAGAAAAGTAAAAGTCTTCAGTATCTCATCAACCGATACCCATCTCAACAGCAGAACTGTAAATATCAAAATCAAAGTCTGATATGATGCACCCAATTACCTAATTCAATGAATGTCTCCATCACACTTTATTTGCTTTGTCGAAATCATAACTTTTGAAAATTTAGTTTAATTGGCAAAGTTCTCCAGAATGTAGCCTGATAATGGTTGAGACTGACTCTTCTGAAAAGTAATGACTTACTGAGTCTCCTCGGTCCAAATTAGCTTACATGCTTTACAAGTATGGTTAATGCTTAATTAGGAAGTGGAAGGCACTGGCGATCAAAGCCTTTAGAATGAGAACCATTCGATCAAGTTATTGATTTCTTGATTAATTAACCTTTAAACAATGTATTTACTCGGCAAGAAAAGATGTAATCCAGCTGACAGACATTGATTCGAGAAATGGCATTCTAGTCTTGATATAATTCACTGTCAAAAATAGTTTAAACTATAAATTGGCACTTAAAATCAACGGCTACTGATGTGGAACTTTATTTACACCGCCATCGGCTGAAAGTAGTCTTATCTCAGTCCAGAATTTACGACTAACTAATTAACGGTTTTCCTAGCACATTTCTATGTAAAACAATTAGTCTCTTTTATAAATTTGGATAATGTTATTAAAAGACGGAGATTATCTGAAAATTGTGATATATTTGAGCAATACATTTCACACTATTTGATCACACACATTTACTTGTCAAGTTAATTTATATGAAAAACAATTAAAGGGCAGTTAAAGTATACAAACTGACAAAAAAGAATTTAGCTATGGTCTCAGCATATTTCAGTAAGCGCCCCTGACCATTTTTATAGATGACCTTAGAAGCTGTGTTCACATCAGTCTTATGGTTCATCTCGATTGGATGTTTGGCTATAGACGAAGTTGGTAGTCTTCCACCTGCGTCCATTGACTTTCCAAAGTTCTTCTGTCTTTCTAACCATTTCGGAATATGCTCTCCCACCCTCACATGCAAATCACGATTACTCCTCCCAATGTATGTGTGACCGCACACACACATACACACGTAAATTGGTAAATAGTGTGGGCTGTGACAAAATCACTTCTGCACTTTTGAGGTGTGAAGTGGAACATACTTTTGGTTTTTTTCAGTGATTACAAGCCGAGCTGCATAGTAGGTCCTACCAATGACCGAGTTTAATCCCTGTTTCAAAATTCTGCTATTTATTTCCATGTTGTGTGGCGATTTGATGAAGACATTTTTCTTTGTAAACTTGTCCCTTAACTTAATTGCTAAAATGCCCTTCTATAGGAGATATGTAGATGATATTATTTTGATATGTCATGAACATGAAGGTGCTAGTCTTCTATTGGATAGACTTAACTCCGCACAGAATCATATAAGTGTTACATACAACGAAGAAAATTGTAATCAGTTTGCATTTTTAGACTTAATTCTGAGTCGAAGAGGTAATGGTTCAATAAGACGATCAATTTACAGAAAGCCTACTTGGATAGAGCAACACTTAAATTTTCTCAGCTTCTGTTGACTACATTATAAGAGAGGCTTGGTGAAATGTTTATTTAAGAGGATTCAGCGTATTTGTACGGCTGATTTTATAGAGAGGGAAAATCAAATACTGATGGATACTCTTGTTGAAAATGGATATCCTTTAAAATTTCTGAACAGATGTAGAAGTCAGTTAGTCTTAAAACCTACAAACGTTTCTCTATGCTTGGAAATGGAATAAATTTGACACGTTTTTGAAGAGTCATGTAGTTCCAAAAATTCTTATGCCTTTCTAATATTTAGTCTAATCAATAAATCAGAATTTACTATGGAGAACAATTATCGTCTTTTTAAATTTGAGGTGACTGCCGTATGCTAATTAATTTCAACCATTTGTACTTAATTACATATTTCCAGAAGCTGATTGCTACATAACGTCTTTCAAATGTTTTAAAATTGGTGAAGGGTGAACGATATGGAGATCAGAATTTAAGTTACCAAAGTCTGAACATCATGATAGTGTAACCTATTAAATTAAAATCCACGTTTCGCCCAAACTTTCACTACTTGGTTGTGGGACTGTCTCCATGCAGAAGTTATAAATATTAAGCCATCATATGAGTACGGCGACCATCAAACACTGACAGGTATCGTACATTATTTAGTTGCGAGGGAACTCTCACAATGAATTCAAACTTAAGTGGTCAGAATTAGAACATTAACTAAATTGAAGTTCACCACTAAATCGTTCGATATATGATTTGGGTTGTTTTGTATCTTTTCCACTGGTAGTGAGACGAATACCTAGATAAAAAGACTTTTAAGCAAAATTTGTTTGTTTATGTGCAAGTGCAAGTAAGTCTGTTTAAAATTCCTAGTGCATCAATGTTACGAAACTCATGCCATACACTGGGACATTCGACCAACCGATGAAACAAAACTTGATTAGACTGAGTCCTATACTAGTAAAATCATGCTAATAAATTCCAATTTCTTTTGTCGGTCACCTGTACAACTACGTGACCTGAATATATTCGATTTCCCAATTGAATTTCGCATTTTAAAAATGACGAATTTGAGTCCAATTAACATTTACATAAATCGTTTATGATATTACTTTCATTTCACACTTTCTTAAATTACGGATTGAAACCTATTTAGTAGTGATTCCTTCCTAATAAATCTGGAGATATTACTTAAAACTACATTGACTTATGCATTATAGATATACTGCTGACTGATGAATTCCTCATTAATATACGTACTGGTATTCGTGGTCTGTTAATTGTACATATTCACTAATTTACAAAAAGCAGTATTTTCTATTTTAAGAATAAGAGATACTTTTTATATCCTGAGTAGTTATCCCAAAGTTTCGGCTATAAGCTATTGTACGGTTAGATTGAAATACTGTAGCCTAATGCTAGTAAACAGTCATTTATATTTCCATACCACAGTATAAACTTGTTCAAATGGTTAATTGGAAAGCTCCTATAATTCATTTCATTGGAACCTGAAGTTGAGCTATTATTCATTAGTTTGTCTTATTTTCCAAAGTGACTTACGGAGTTTTAGAAATAGATTTCTTTGTTGACTAATTTCCATACATATTTATGCTACTCAAATCCAACATTGTGAGAGGGTAGTATTCTTGCCGATCAGTTTGATATTTTAAAAATGCTAGGGGATCTTTCGATTGAAGGCCAAAATGCAATACAATTCCTTTTAAGGCAGATGAGATATGGAAGTGATCCAGAGTATCTAACAGAGGATTCTTAATTAAACAAGTAGAATTTTCAGAAAGCATGATAATTAAGCCTATACTCATCACATATTCAATTCCAGTCTGACGCCTGTAGATCTTGCTGAAATTGTATGTTGTCGTTGTACTTATAAATCTTGTGTCGACATTCAGAATGTTTACTTGAAGAAAGTTATTTAGCATTACTTTACTTCAAGTAAGTGAGATTTTAGAAAGGAAGGCGGCAGGTGTGAAAACCCCACGATGGCATTAGGTAGTTCCAAGCGGCCTAGCTTATTTACTTGTATAAACTCGACTGTTCCCTTGTAATGAAATTTTTATTTTTAAAGTTATTTTAGCCACTATTTGTGTTTTGGTACTGAGTTGTGGATTGCTATAGAGTGATTGTATTTTATCTATCAGCAGTGTATACTTCAGTAGTCATCGAATCAGAAATACTCTTGAAATTGAGTTAGGTAAGATGGTAGAACTAAGTGAATACAATTACGAACAATGAAGCCTTTTCTAAAATTCTTCCTGTAAGTGATTTTTTTATTCCTTCACGTTCCCAGTGGAACATAAGGCTTCAAGCTAAAGTCTTGAATTTTCTGTAGCAGTGTTTATTTTTACAGGATGGGGTTGCTAGCCTCATGCCCAACCTTTCCTATTTGCCACTTCTATTACTGGCTCAGCGAGGTAAAGGAGTTAGTCGGCCGGGGATCGAACCTGGACCATATGCATGGTCGGCGAGCGTCCTAACCACTGTGCCACTGACGGACAGCAACCAGTTAGTGACACTGTTTCACTTTGTGATACTTTCAACGAACACATTAGTATCAAAAGACAATACATCAACATTTATAGCGTTTTGGTCTTCAGGATGAATTCTAGAAAACTGAAAACTGATGTGTTTAAGACTCCGATGGAGAGGAATTAAATCTCACCTACAACGAAAACAAACAAAGAATATGTTGGCAACAGCTTTATTGAGAAAATAGGAAAAGACTTAATAGCTATCGTATGAAGGTATGATCATTCACATACTATTTTAACTATTAGTGTATTTCGTGTTTGAGCACAAAGTAATGTGTGAACCGATTGCAAAACATGACGTTTCGTAAGTAATCAATGCATTACTGAAGCTGTTGTAAATCATTTTATTTCAAAAGCCTTCAACTCTTCATTCTATATTATACATGTCAAAAATAATATAGGCCAAAGTAGACAATCAGGAGTCCTAAACTCTGCAAGAAGAAATAAATGTAAACTATCGGTCATAAAAATATCATACAATACGTTTACAGTGAGATATAAAGAGACTGAATCAATCAACAAATTAAACATCGATCCGGTGTCACCTAGCAAGCAATGTTAAAAATGGTAAAGTCAGTTGACATACGTATTATATAGATCTTCATATTCACACGGAATTAACGGCATATAGCAACACTGTTAGGAATATATAGCACAAGTTGATGGAGTGGGTATGTGTTGCTTACATTAGGCATTTTCTTAATAACACGCACTGGTTAGAATAATTGTAAAAGCTTTGAGTATGATAAAGATGCTACTGAAACGGTAGAAG